TTACTCATATTAATCTTTACTGCTTTTTTTTTATATCACTTTTTATTTTTTAATCAGTGGATTGTCCATGTGTAGGAATACCATAAGATTCAGGTCTAATATATTTAACATCATTGACCAAAATTATTTTGGTGCACTTTAGGACTGGTGCATGATGTAGTTCGTTTTGGAAAACATGTGTATGTGTATGTGATTGTGCCCTGCAATGTGTTGGCACCCCATCCAGGGTATACCTTGTGCCCCATGCTCCCTGGGATAGGCTCCAGGTTCCCCATGACCCTGTAGGATAAACGGTATAGAATATGGATGGATGGATTGATCTTCAATTTTAAAAAAATAAAAAATAAAAAATAAGAAAAGCTAAGGTGTTAATTGTTAAGGTGCAAAAAAAAAAAGAAAGTTTTCGCATTTTGCATAAAAAGCTTATGAACATATACCAGAAACATCCTGAGTTTAGAATAGCTAACAGTATAGAGAGCAAAAGAAAAAAAAAAGTGAATAAATATTTACATTGAATTACATTAATGGTCATAAACAGCCTTTAAAAGATTACAGAGTTTGGTGCTGTTCTGTTTTTCGTCGTTCTTCATATGGGCAATATAATGAATACGTTTTTGCAGGCTACATTAATTAAAAAAAATACTTCTTTTCCCAGCAAATCCGTTTTAGGCCACACCCACTTCAAGTTTAAATCTTATGAAAGTTTGGAGTGAAAAACTGAGGGTGTATCACGATACAGCCAGCAGATGGCACTGTGGCTCCGGTCAGGTCACGTGACCGTGGTTTTGTTCGCGCATTTCCTTGTTTTGATTTGTCACGTGTGTTCGTGTTTTTGGGTTAATGAGCACTAGTATTTAAACGTATTGGTTACTGTGCACGGCGCTCGGTATTATTAGTTGTTAACCCCATGAGGGAGCGGTCATGTAGTATCCTGTTATGCTAAGTTGTCTGATTCACGTTTGCCTTCAAGACCGCGTTTTATTTGTGTTTTCTATTTGTGTTGAATAAAGAGCTTTGCCCTGCATCCAGCCTCCAATTCAGTTTCGTGACAGGTGGCAATGAGTTACATCCGAAATAATAATAATAATAAAAAAGTAAACATAGCAATTAAGCTAATTTAATGATCAAAAAAGTGAGTGAAAACTGAACACTAACCTATATGAGTAACTAACCTAGCGATTGAAAGCTAACTTGTTTTACTGCTTATTGTTCTACTGCTTATACTGTTTATGGACTATATTAGCCCACATGTATAACCCCTACCTTTAATTCTCAGTCTGGGAATCCGTGATTGGTAAATTTTACTGTCTTACTATTTTTTTTTAGCATTCTGCTTATATTTTATTTTATTTTATTGTTGTATTGTGTGAGATGTTCTGAGCTACTAGGATCTTGAATTTCCCCTTGGGGATCAATAAAGTATCTATCTATCTAACTTAATGAGACGCTTAGCTAACGGTTGTACGTTCATCTAGCGAGCAAAAATATATCTCATGAGCTAAAGCTAAGCAAGAGAAAGCTGAGTGACTGAAAGCTTAGCTAACAAATGTAAGTTGCTCAAATCTAGTGGTTAACAGCCTTCCTAGCAAGAAAAAGCAAATTCAGGGAGTGAAAGCTAAAGTAGAAAATGTAAACAAGTCTAGCAAATGATTGTTGACCTAGCGAGAGAAATTTTTCAGCAAAATCTTTCACTTGAAAGCTGTTGGTAAAGATAATGGAAACACGACAAACACAAGCCAATTCTGTGGAGAAATCACACAACCGGCAAAGCCGATCAAGTAACACGTGTGTCACATATTTACACCTATTTTACAGGCGTGTATATATATGTGAAACGAGATCAGCTGTGAAACTGTGTTTGTGAGAGCTGACCCTCAAACAACACAAAGTTCCAGATGTATACAGCTGCTGAAGCTGTATAAACTCCTCGGTTTTCTTCTCAGCTGTAGAAAACTTTCTCAGATTTCAACAGTTGCTTTGTTGATTGGCTGGACTGTTGAGATTTCTGCTGACTTCAGCTCATATCTGAAAAGTCTGACGTGTGTGTGTGTGTGTGTAGGGTTTTTTTTTCTCCTGGTGTGTCACACATGCTGCCAGCTCTGGTCTGTATTAATCAAACACACCGGGTCGGTCACGCTCCATCACTCTGCAGGAGACCATTGATAAACGTCTGCTGCTCTCCTCTAGTAATGATCAGCAGCTCTGCTCTCCTTTTCCTGCCAGCAGCCCACCACGTCCTGTGTGTAATGAAAGCTGGAGTTTGCATCCATCCATCTGTTTGTGTGTTTTAATCATTCCTGTATTTCTAGCTCCATTGTAAACGCTATAACATGAATCGATGTACAGTACAACATTTAAACCAGAGCTGAAACCTGTATTGATAAACAACAATAGCGTTGAATATATTCGTGTTTATCCTCATGACCAAACCTAATGCTAAAAGCTAAACTAGCAAATAAAAACTGAACGTTATTCTAGCAATTGAAAGCTAACTTAATGAGCGAAATCTCATGTAACAGATAGAAGTTCTAGTGAGCAAAAGCAAATCTAGCGAGTGACTTATAAGCTAGCAATAAAATGTAACACTAAAAATCTAAACAAGCAAAATGAAGTCTGAGAAATTATTTAGTTAGCGAAAGCTATTAAATTGAGCGATAGCTTAGCTAATAGCTGTACGTTTATCTAGGGAGTGAAAGCAGTATATCTAGGGAGTGACAAGCAAACCTAGATAAAATATCGAGTGAAAGCTGTTACCTCGCAAGCGAAAGCTAACAGGAGAGCAAAAGTAAATGTAGTGAGTGACAGCGTGTAATGTTATGGTGTGTAAGCTAATCTAATGATAAAAAGTCAAAATTTGCAATTGCATACTGAAAATGAAAAAGTTACGGACTGAAAGCTAACCTAGCGAGGGGAAGCTAATCAAGTGAGCGGCATCGTAGCTAACAGCTTTAAGTTTATCTAGTGCGTGACAGCTAACCTAACAAGTGAGCATTAAACCTAGCGAGGGAGAGATATAATCTATTGTGTGAAAGCTTTTCTAACAGGAGCAAGATTATCTAAAAATAGACTGACATTTAATGTATTGAGATAAAATTTCCATCCAAACTTCTTACCAAGCCCTTGGTAAAGATAATAGAAGCACAATGTGAAAAAAAAAATCACTTTTGCAGTAACTTGGGAATATCATAACTGCAAAGACAGCTACGCAGGAAAGTAATATGAGCCTCTGAGTGCTAATTAACAGTGAATCACACAGAAAACAAGCACGTTAACAGGTGCATTTCTGAACACTTCTCTGCTGCTATGCTCTAAAGTCTAACTGGTGAGACAACTGCAAGAGTACCCAAGGTCTTGAGGTTAACTGTAACATTTTACTGCAATGAACAAATCAAATTAACAGAGAGAAACTGTGAGCTCAAATGAATGTCCATCCCAGTAGATAAACAGACACTTATCACCGGGTAAACATGCCAAAATACTGACCTCATATCATTAACTCGGGATTTCATTAGCACCGCTTTGACCCAGTCTCAGTAAAAATGCTTATAAATTCAGAAAATCAGACTGCTAATGATCAGAATCCAGGTTTCCAAAGCCTCTGATCCCATTATTTTTTTCATTTTACATCCGCTACACCACACAGTATGCACCATAAATCAATTAAAACATACATTATATTCATGTTACTGGGTTAAGATATAAAATAGATACGAAAAATGTATCCTTGACAGTTCAAGGATTGTTAAGTTTGTTGCTGTTTTTTTTTTCAACAATTAAGTACCTATGTAGCTGAAGTCGGCTTTACGTTGTATGATTTTTACAATTGTTATTGAAAAAGAGCATACAATATGTAGGATGAGAGAACGCATAATTTGACTAGTGTGACTACGACAAAATACAGAAGACAATAAAAGTTCTCCAAGTATCCAAATTTGTATTATTATTATTATTATTATTATTATTATTATTATTATTAAAATGTTACCATGGGCACTGCTACAACACTTGTCTGAAAGCCACCAACAGAACAATGGATCGCTTAAAATGATGCAAAAGTCATGGAACAGCTACAAAGATCCTAGCAATGCTGGAAAAACGTGAACAAAACATGATAATGAACAGAAAAAAATATCCTTATTACGTCAAGATCTCTTTGGTAAATGTTGTGTTTATGTAAGGCCATTTTGCGGACAGTCAGGCTGATTGTTGATGTAACTAAAATAAAGTAATTTTGTTTACTGGCGGGTCTACCGTTAGAGGATCTTCATCATATACAGTAATCTGTCATGAACAGCGCATTTGTTACAGAATTCAGCCAAGAATAAGTCTGAATCTAAATTTCTACAAACTAAATTGTTTCTCCAATAAGAAAGCGGGAGTCCTAAGGAATCCTCTCGAGTTGTCACTGAGCATAAACTCACTCATAAATGTATTTACAGTACACAGCACTGTGCAGGTGTGTGTTTAAAAGGACACTTTCCCTAAATAATTCACCAACAAGTTCAGAATGATTTTCAGTCAGAGACGTTCATGTGTGGATGTAGATGTAAAATCCCATTTAACACGTGCAGGGCACATGTATGATCCCGTGTATTGAGATAACCAGGTGACTCATGCCTACACACAGTCACCTTCAGGCCAACAAAATGTCACAGTGACATGAATCATGGTATGGGATATGGAGTGTGAATAATGTCACTCACCAAGCCTGTCAATCAAACATCGCTCACAGATAAAATGTATTTAAAGCTGTGCTCGAATGTAGTGCTGGAGACAGTCCTGGGGAGACGGAAATTCCGGATTGGTCACTGTGCTGCTCTGTTAACGCTGATTATTCATGCTAAAACATGCATGGTGCTACGATTCCAGGGGTAACGATTAGCATATACAAAAATTTGTGAAGGGTTTTGCGTAGAAACACCTGGATAAGCGACCAACATGAATGAAAGGCGAGAAAATATTGCTTTGAATGCTTAACCATTAATTGTTCATTTATGTGGGGCATGATAGTTTAGTGGTTAGTACATTTGCCTCACACCTCTGGGGTTGGGGGTTCAAATCCAACCTCTGCCCTGTGTGTACGGAGCTTGCATGATTTCCCATGCTTCGAGGATACCCCAACCATGCTTTTCCTCTGGGTACTCCGGTTTCCTCCCCAGTCCAAAAACATGCCTTGTAGGCTGATTTCCAAATTGTCTGTAGTATGTGAATGTGTGTGTGATTGTGCCTGTCAATGGGTTGGCACACCATCCAGGGTGTGCTCCAAGTTCCCTGGCTCCTGGCTCCCTCGTGACCCTGTGTAGGATAATCGGTATGGAAAAATGGATGGATGGAGGGGTAGATTGGTTTATGGCTATAGATAATACATGCAGTAGTTACGTTTTGATTTGTAGTGTAAACTCTGCTTCTAGTCCTGTAGCTAGTCTCTGGTTTGATGAGCTGCTTTCAGCAACAAAATTTACATAACTGCATGTGATTGAATAAACCGCAACCGGATCTGTTTGGTTCATACCTGGAAAATGTCCGTTATGTTTACCCACTTTGCTACAGAAACATTCGGTCACTGAATTTCTTGCTAGGTCCTCATCTTGACACCAGTCCACCAGTCGTTGTGCACATTCTGTGGAACACCGAGAGTTTCAGTATTATTGTGCATTCTGAACATTTGGAGAACAGTAGTATGGTTAGTTTAATAAGAGGAAGTACATGGGCTTGCAGTGGAGCGCAGCCTGATTGGACTCACAATGAACTCATTAGCTGGCCGAGGCACTGATGCCCTTACCGAGTGCCAGGGGGTCCTGTCATCCTCTCAGCTTTCCACTCTGCCCACACACTCCACTTTAACGCAGTCTCCTCCTCTGTCTAGTGAGATGTTTCTGAAACTTTTGTCTCCAACATCTAAGAGTGCTAAATGTGCACATCTCTCCTTACCATGCACTGAACTGTCAGCCAAGTCTCATGGCTTTTCTTATCACCACTAATATAGATGATACTCTGTTGGTTCTGCCTGTCCTTCCCTCCATAGTCTCACGTCTCAGCACACATCTCAGCTCACCTTACAGATATCTCAACCTGGATGAACGATCACCACCTCCAGCTTAACCTTTCAATGCCAGAGGTGCTTGTCATCCCGGAATAGTCAACACTGTCAAAAGCTGAAGTAAGATTCTCACAGGAATGACTTCTCAAATGTAGTATTGAGAACTCAATGGTGTACTATACTTAGAATCCAGACTACTAGCTTAGGCTACATATTCTGGTATGGTTCATCAAGAACTATTACATATTTTTTCTCTGTAGCCTATCACCTAACACGTGAACTGTGTTCACAGACAATGAGTTCTGGAGGTGTTTCTGAGCCCATACAGTGATTTCCATTACAGAATCACGCCTGTTTTTAATGCAGTGCCGCCCGAGGGCCCGAAGATCACGGGCATACGATATTGATTTTCACCCTTCTCCCTTGTGCACAGAGATTTCTCCAGATTCTCTGAATCTTTTGATGATATTATGTACTGTAGATGATGAGATATTCATAGTCTTCGCAATTTTACATTGAGGAACGTTATTCTGAAACTTGTTCCACAAATTGTAGGCGCGGTTTTTCGCAGATTAGTGAACCATTGGTGAATTTTTACTTCTGAAAGACTTCGCCTCTCTAAGATACTCTATATATACCCAATCATCTTACTGACCTGTTCCCAATTAACCTCCAGCTGCTTCTTTTTAGTAACACTGTTTTAGTAACACTGTTTTAGTAATACTCTAGTAACTTTTTAGTAATACTGTTCCCGCCTTTCGTTGCCTCCATCCCAACTATTTTGAGACATATTGAGGCCATCAAATTCAAAATGACCTTATTTTGTTGGTAAAATGGTACTTTTTTTTTTACTCAATTTAAACATTTAATATGTTTTCTATGTTCTGTTGTGAATAACATATGGGTTTATGAGATATGCAAATCACTGCTTTCTGTATTTATTATTATTATTTTTTTTGGTTTTCACAGTGTCCCAAGTTCTTTTGGAACTGGGGTTATACACAGTTCAGTTCTGCAGCACATGTATCACTTTAGAAGCGTGGAACAGCTTGGATTCTGCCTCACTTGTGGAAGTCTGGTGAGATAAAAGCGCAATCCAAATGAATGAATGCAGACGGAGATTCCATTTAGCTGTATTTAGCGTATGCAGAAGAACACCTGCTTGAAATAAAAAGTGCAACAACAGGTTATGTGCTTGGCTGTGACAGGAAGATCAGCATATGGATGAAGAGAAGATGTGATAAAGGATGATGAATAGTAACAGATTGTATGGAATAAATGACTCTTTTGACGATATAATCTTGTTTTTCATCTCCAGGATATTCAGCATAACGATACAGTCTTATACTCTTATATAAAAGGTTCTTTATACGTTCTTTAGTGTTATTTTCCATAGTTAAGGGTTGTTTGCCTCCTAATTGGTTCTCTCTGAAAGCCTTTCTCATAGAGAACCACTCTGTTGGAGGATTTGATATAAAACCTGTCCCCAGACAGACAATCAAAGAACCACTAAAGTTCTTAGCGTACCATTGGGTTCTTCAAGGGATCTTTAATGTTTCATGAGATAATTAAGTCGTTCTTGGCTTCCTAAAAGGGTATACTTAGAACTTTTCTTATATACATTTTTAACTTCTTATATTCATTGACGTACAAACACTTCAATATGTTCTATATGGTACCATTAAAGATTCCTCCGAAAGGAAAGCTAAAGAACTTCTAAGAATTTTAGATTCAACCTATACAACATAAAATCATTTTGGGGGGAAGAGGGTTCTTAGAGGGCTAAGTGAACAATTAACGGTTCTTACCTTTCTTGAAGACTTCTACTTGAAACTCATTCTAATGTCTAATGGGCTCTACATGGAAGCTTCAACAATTCTTCCAGATTGACAACCAAAGAACTGCTAAGGATTTCAGATTAACTGATACAGGTTTGCATGGTCACATACTGTAAAAGGGTTCTTCGAGGGTTTTTTTAAGAGTTCATTGGATAATTGAAGGATTTCGTAATTTCTGCAGCGTGTGCCTTGTTCCCGCCTCCAAACTCTGATTGGCCAATTTGTTCTTGGATGGTTTAAACTGCTACCTGCGCCATGGCCTTCTATTTCTAGCTTTCATGTAGGTTTTATAAACGTAAAAATGCGTACATTCTTCACTTGGCTAGATAGAAAGTTAGAGAAGCTTTTCAATCTTAGTTTATCTTCATAAACCTTAGATAGATTATGCAGCTTGCTTGTTCTCGTTCGAGTTATTGTTAAGTTGGACCCTATTACAGGCTTTGATAGTTTTGTTTGATGGTGTCTAAAGGCTTGTTATGCTAATTTATCCTTTGCACATAGGTTTCTATTTCAATTATATTGTAATGCAATGCATCCTAATGGTTTACTGCTGATGTGTGATGGATCATAAATGAGCTTGAAACAGTAGTTTTGGGAAATGCAATGTAGACATACAGGAGTCTTTTCATGTCTTCTCTTATGGATGTTTTCGCAACAGGCTGAGGTTCAATGGCGATTTAATGGACGTGATATTTGTATCTGTAATATTGTGTTGCTTGAGGCTGTCTACTAGGAAATGAGAATTGGGGACTGGGTGGGGGATCTAGAAAATATTCCATTTCAGGATACAATAATTAAATTACACACAAATGGAAAACTACTTACTTAGGGGAAAAAATCTAATTGAGTGTTATGTTTGTTTGTTATTGATAGTGTTCTTTTGAAAATATGCTTTACAATTGCAAGTTTAATGACAGTCCAACTAATTTCTTTCTACCAAACTCCCCCTCTTTTTTTTGGGGGATCTGGGTATTTGGAAATATGGACTTTCCAGGATTATGTTGCAGCATTATAAGCTGTAAATAAAGAAATAAATAATGCAACGTCATTGATAGCTGCACATCACGTGTAGTGCAGCACGATGCAGTAAGTACACTGGAGGATATAAATAACTAGAGTTTCTGTTCAGAACAGCATGTAGCAACACATCGAGTACAGAGATATCACCAAAAATAACATCTGTGAGAACCGTACTGAGTGATAAATAGGGGTGGAACAGTACAGCAATGTTGTGCATGAGATAGGGAGATAAATAGATCGAGAGGAAGATGGGAAATAGAGATATGAAGTGTATATGAATGTCTGAAGGAGTGGGTCTTGTGTTTAAGTACACACTACTGCTATTGCACACACAGCGAAAGAGATGTCATCAGAAACCGGGCGTCTGAGACCGAACCAGAAACACTGCGAAAGAAATGAAAGAGTGAGGAAATGGATAGATAGATTAGGAAAAGACTGTGTGCTGTGCTCTGTGTGCGAGTGTGTGAGTGTGTTGATGGATGAGAAACTTACCAAGCTGAAGGTTGGTGTTTTTCATTACAAAGTCCGAGTTGTTGGGCTTCACTCTATCGCCATCAAGTGGTGATGCTGGGAAGTGCAGCATCGAGGGAATGACCGGAGAGAGCGATCCAGCTCTCGAGGCCACATCCATCGCTTATTTTTCTTGTGATCTTGATGTATGTAAAAGTTGCATTAATGAGATAACAAACTGAACAAACAGGAATTTGAGAAAAAAAATCCAGATTTGTTTTTTTTTATGTTCATAGGATTAAAAAAATAAATAAATAATAATATAAAAAAAAATAATAATAATAATACCGTAAACCTTTTTGTTTAGTAAAAATTGTAAATGAGTCATGAAAGAGTCGACTCTAATGGCTTACCTGAACTGAATGATCTGCCTGACTCTATGTTTCTGTGAACACACTTGGACGACCCATAATGACCTTGTTTTCGCTTCATTCCCATGAAAAATAAAATAAAATAAAAATAATATAAAATAATGAGGAGAAAGTCAAGTGTGGTTCTGGACATACAAGAACATATGCTAGCTAGCTAAGTTAGCTTTAACTCTATAGCCATCCCTTCAACATTTCCGGAGTTCTTCAGGAATGTACAGTATTCTTGATCCTGAGGTAAATGGACAGAATACAAATGGTATAAACCCATTGATTAGCAAAACGTTTCAAAGTCTA